AAGCATTTCTTGCCAAAAAAACGAAGGCAAAGGGCAAGAAGAGAGCTTCACTTCTATGCAGAGGTGAAAGTGGGCCGGTACAGCATACCAGTAAGAAGTGGCCGCTGGTACGGACTTGTACACCACCAACGAATATTGCTGCTCCTTTTGTTGCGCCCCTTCCCCAGCGCCGTCAGAGGGGGCGGGGGCAACTGCCCCACGGCCCAGCGATTTAAAAGGGCCTGGGACTCCTGGCTGCTGCCGTTACTACCATGGCCACTGAAGGGCTGGCTGGGGGAGGCTGACCCCCTAGCCCTGCCCCTTCCGCCTGAGGCCCTGCCCCTTCTGCCTGGAGCCAGGCTCCCATACTGGTAAGACTTCTACATTATTTTCACCCCTGCTTCCACTCCTATGAAGCTTCCATCCCTTAATACTGAATCTGAAGAGAAAACACCCGTTTAAAAATTGAGACAGATCAGTCACTGAATGGACGGCATGTGGCTAGTAACTAAAACCTGCTCTGGAGACTTGTACCTGAAGCAGGCTGGCTAATCTTTCCCACGTTTTTTCTCTCTACTCTAGAGGGATTGATTGAAATAGCTCATTCATTACAACACCATGTCACCGGAGATGTCAGAATACAAAAACTACGGTGACTCTACTGAAGAACTATGCTAGAGGGAAACCAAGGCAACTTAAGACTTCAGTTTCTCTAAACACTAAAAGCTATTCCAGCAACACAAGATAATACACACTTCTTCCTGCCACAGAGAACAGATTTTCATTGCAAAAACTACTGGAGCTTGATGTTGTTAAATTACTTCTTAATGCTCCATGTACTGTAAAAGAAGCTTAACTAAACAGGGAATGATACATCCTCATCCAAACTGTAGATGCAGCAACAGGCTACAGCAGTCCCTTGCTTGGTAGGAGGAAGTATGTGGGAAAGCCATCTGCTAAAACCTATTTCAGAAACAACATGAAAGATTCCTTCAATCACTTCCTGACAGAGGAAGAAGCAAATACTTTCTCGCATTCTAAGTAGAAGGTCATTATTATTATTATTTATATTACAGAAGCAATTAGAGGCCTGAACAGTGATTGGGGTCTCAGTGTGTTATTTGCTTTAGAAACACATAGGAAGAGACTGTCCCTGCTCCAGAAAGCCTATGGTCTAAATAGACAAGATAGAAAGTGTAGGAGAAAGGGAGCATTATCTCGATTTCACAGATGGGAAACTGAGATAGATTAAGCACCTCGCCCAAGGTCACAGAGGGAATTTGGAGGTAATGAACCTGTGCCTCAACCACAGGACCATCCTTTGTCTCCTATACTTTTCAGAGTAACAGCCGTGTTAGTCTATATTTGCAAAAAGAAAAGGAGGACTTGTGGCACCTTAGAGACTAACCAATTTATTTGAGCATAAGCTTTCATGAGCTACAGCTCACTTCATCGGATGCATACTGTGGAAAGTATAGGGAGAAAACCTGGATTTGTGCTGGAAATGGCCCAACTAGATTATCATACACATTGTAAGGAGAGTGATCACTTTAGATAAGCTATTACCAGCAGGAGAGTGGGGTGGGGGGAGAGAAAACCTTTTGTAGTGGTAAACACCCATTTTTTCATGCTTTGTGTGTATAAAAAGATCTTCTATACTTTCCACACTATGCATCCGATGAAGTGAGCTTAGCTCACGAAAGCTCATGCTCAAATAAATTGGTTAGTCTCTAAGGTGCCACAAGTACTCCTTTTCTTTTTGTCTCCTAAACTTGATACTTAAACATTATAATGAATTTCTAAGTCATATTTATGCATACCACTCCCCTGCATTTAGGCAGAATCAGAACTAATCAACTATGTGTCAGACATTTTACTGCTTACAGATATTCTCCTTTACCTCAGATTGGGGCCTGTACCAGACTTATTACAATAATACTTTGTACGTGTGAATTAATCCAACATACAACTGAGATTTTAATCACAAATCAGGAAACTCAGAGGTTGCTGTGGAGACCTTAAACTTTTACTTTTTTATGTAGGTATCACAATAGTCTTTCATTATGATCTCAGTACCCCCCACCTAAATTCTCCATGAATTTCAAATGGATACAATATTCTTTTTCACTCCCCATTTTAAACTGCTGAGTTGTGTTGCTCTGTTTTGTTACAAACAAACCTCCCCAAGGAGCTGCATTTCAAGGGTAGGTTAAGTACCCGTAATATAATAATATTAACTATTAGTAGTAGAACTTTACACATCTATGCCGCTTTCTCATCTGAAGATCTCAAATCACTTTACAAACATTAATTTATCCTCTCATCACCCCTGTGAGGAAAGAAAATATTATCTTCAGTTTTACAGATGCAGGAAAACTGATGTACAGAGAGCTAAAGTCACTCACATAACACTGCAAAGCACTTCTACCGGGTAAGATATCACATATATATCTTCAGACTAAGATACGGGATCATTAAGAGCAACGGTTACATTACAGAGGAACAACAAATGTAGAACACTAAGCATTCTTAGGTAGTCACTCATCCATGTACTAATCAGGCTTAGATTAAAAAACAGAAATTGGATACAATGAGCAACAATCTGATTTCAAGCTACTAGACCCTGCCACTTCAACTGCAATTTACCAAGATTCCCATGGCTTCATCCCAGTAAGAATTTAAAACAAAAGATGATGATGATGAAAGATGTATATTAAATGTCAGGAACTGTTGCACAGGTGCCAAACTGAAATGCTGAGAACTACATTGCTTACTAGTATCTGAAGTTCACTCAATAAATTCTCCCCATAAATCCACCCTCTTTATCTCTAAGAAGGGGGCTGATTGTCACTGCATATGTGAAATTCAGCACCAAGACTGGAGTTCTAAAGAGATGAGCGTCTCCCTGCACCCCCCAGTGTCTTTGTGGGGCACACAGGCTCTGTAGAAATGGATAAGGAGGGACACCAAGCATAGATCTCTGGAAGTAGCAGGGATTTAAAGGACCAAAAAGACCAGTTAGGACTTGGATGGTGGTGGAACACTGTGACTCTCTAGGAAGGAACTGCCATATGCTATGTTTGCACAGTGCAATGGGGCCCAGACTGAGGCCTCTAGGTGTTCCTAATACTATAAATGCTATATAATTATAATCCTGTGTGGCCCAAAGCCAAAGGAAAAGGTTTGTCTTTTCTGAAATCATCTTTCAGCTTGTTGTGATGCCTGCAAGCTACAACCTTTTATGTCATTGTCTTAATGACGCTGTGAAAAGAGCATGGCAGTGAAAAAGTGGTCCTGAAACTGGCAGAAATCTGACTGGGACTAAGTTCACAGCCTGACTCATGTGAAGTCCTGAGCCTCTACCCCTTGCAATATCAATCTAACCTCCAGAATGTCTCTCTAGTCCTAAAGGAAGACCTCAGCCGTGGATTCATATCCCTCTTTGACAGAATTGTCGTATGAGCTAAGAAGAGCAGATTTTAGATAACTTGGTACCTATATAGCGCTATCAGTGTGGTCTGAGAGTACTTCACAAACATTAATGAATTTTTCCTCTACACCTGAGGAGCTAGAGAAGGATTATTATACCAATTAAAAATAAAAACCGCAGACGGGGAAATAAAACCGATTAAGTGACATGCCCAATGCCACACAGATAATCTGTGGCAGAGCTAAGAACAAAACCCATAATTTCCCAAGTTTCAGTCCAATGCTGTAACCACAAGCTCATCTTTTCTCTCATACAGAGACCTTGCAGAAGCTACAAACACAAAAAGACAAAGTAAATGCACAGCTGCAGCCAGAGGCCCTGTGTCCAGCTACTGATATTCTCCTGGTGCCAACACTGTGGCTCAGGCCTTATTTTTCCCTTTACCAACTACTGTGTTCCTATCAGCTCTAGACAACAAAATCCTGGCTCAAACCTACACTTTGAGCTGCTGCTTCCATACTGGCCCCAGTTCTGGATCTTTAGCCTGAAATCTACACAGTGCTCTGTACTGCTCCAGGTACTGCACTTGCTACGCTGGAGTAATTTGCCACATTCACATGAGACATTCTTGCAAGGGTACTACCATATGGACTGTTAAATTTCTATTGGTTCTCTGGGAGTATCATGGAATAAAGGAGGACAAAAGATACAGATTCTTAATTAATTTTGGGGCCTGACAACCTTAAATCACCCGTCTTTAAATTATTGAAGGTATGCATTCAATCTAGACAAACTTCTCATCCTAGTTTTCAATTTTCAATCCTCCTTCGTGCAGTGGGACAAATTATGCCTTTAGTAAAAATCATGTAACCCCAATGATGTTAGTAGGGTTTCGTATGTTTACCCATGGACAGAATTAGCCTCAGTGAGCGCATGATCTTGGGGTGACCAATTCTGCCCTCAGTTCTAACAGTACAGATACCATTTAATTCAGTAACTGTCACACCTGGGTAACTGGAGGCAGAATGAGGCCTTTGGTGTCATCATTAAATTGACAGTAGATTAGTCTTGCCCTGCATATAGTACAATATTAATAAAAAGAAAAGGAGTACTTGTGGCACCTTAGAGACTAACAAATTTATTTATACTCCTTTTCTTTTTGTGAATACAGACTAACACGGCTGCTACTCTGAAACCTACAATATTAATGACACTTCAAGCTGACAGCTGTTTAGAAGTCTGATTTAAGTTACTGGAGAGGAAAAAAGAAGTTGGATGAAAAATATCCATAAAATAAACAGAAAACAGCCTTGATTGTACAACTAACAATATGTGAATGTGTTGTGGATCACTTTGAAGAGCCCATTTTCAGGGTATGAACTGCAGTTTAAGGACAGTACATCTTGTTACGGGCACTGATGTAGTTTGACCCGAGACATGGAATAGATTTTTTTTTTTTAAGGAAAGGGTCTTGCTCATTTGTGTAAAAGGTTGATTACAGAAGAGTTCAAGACTTTTCTGAATGACAGATTTGACTAATGATGTGGGGACTTTCACCTCCCCTGCGCCTGCCCCTGCTAGAAGGCCTCACCTTGCTGAGCTGATCCAAGAGTCTTTGGTTCTGTTCAGATAGTTCCTGAACAGCTCGTGTTTTTTCTCGATCTGCTTCACGAAGGTGAACCTGCTGCTTCTCCAACTCATCCTGTAGCTGTTTCACATCGCTCTCCAACTCGGACACCCTTCCTTCCCATTCCCCTTCTCTGTTCTCAAATCGTCGCCTTAATTCGTGTTTCTCTTGCTCTAGATGCTAGGTAATAGAAAGAAAGAAAAAGATTATGAAAGCAGAAAAAAAAAATCAAAGGATGCTGCATGTTCCTACCAGATTCCCCATTCCCAGATATCCCTCATGTTTTGCATCAGCTCTTCCCTGTACTTTCATGCAGCAAACACAATACAAGAATTTGCTACTTCTGTATGACTTGCAAATCTATATTAGAGTCAAGAAACAGGTACTGAAATCTCTCCCTATTCCAATAATAAATCTGTCCGTGTGCTTTGTAGATAAATGGAGGAAGTCAAAAATGCCAAATTTTGTTTCGAGTACAAAGGAACAGCAAAGCAGAGTCTGAATGTCAATAAGCAGAAAATTTAGGTCACATAGACCAATTAATAATTTAGACAAACATGAGTCAACTCAAACAATTTTTGGGGGGGTTAACCTAGTACCATCCTGTCATTCTGCTCTCACAATCACAGATCTTTAAAACCAGTTTTGTGGTACTTTAGATACCCTGCAATAAAACATGCTTCTTGTCAAGTGGCTCTTTCTGTCCTAACTGGGTACATAGTATTACTGTGTGCTGTAAAACAGCTATTGTTTTCCACACCAAAGGAGGCGGGGGGGAGGTGGGGCATATCAGTGGCTGGTGAAGTGACTTCTGTACATTATATATGTATGCATATATTTAGGACCAGATTTTCAGAAATTGACTTTAGTTTTTCAGGCACAATTTTGCATCCACAATTAATGGTTTGTAAAAATCAGGTCGTTAGAAGTCTATTAGAATTTGCACGTTTTGCAGGGCCAGTTAACTGAAGGCCTAAAAATGGAGGCTCCGCTAAAGTAGAGCTGAAAATTTGGTCAAATTGCTTCCAGAGTACACCCTTTTGCAGAAAAATCCAGGAGGGCTAAAGTTGCTTGGAAAACTCAAGTTCAGAGAGTTTCTGGGGTAACAGAGGCCACATTTGCTTGCCTGCAGACTGGTTCACAGAGTGAAGCCCTTTCCTGGTGATGCTCCAAGATTCTTGGGGAAATCTTGGGTATTCTGAAGAGTGACAGCCTCTGCTTGCTACTCCCTGGGTCCCTTTGTCCCACATGGCAAGCTGGCTCTATCAGAAGCCATGCTGCCAATGCCTCCTCTCCTGAATGTGGTCCTCCTTTCGAGAAAATGTGACAGCATGGGACAAGAGGCCACTGGGATTAATACAGACAGCAATTCCCATTTTTTCCAGGGTACAATCCCACAGTCACTATCTCCCCCTGCCTTCATGTCCATAAACCTATGGGGAGAAAAATCATACAGTATTTATTTAGAGTGGCTTCTTTGGTGTCTTTAATTCTTTAATTATAGGTACCGTGTTAGCACCTGAGTTTCAGTCATGGATCTGCCCCATTGTGCCAGGAGCTGTACAACCAAATAAAGAAAGACAGTCCCTGCTCTGAAGGCTGCCATCTCGATTTTAAAAAAATCTCATGAGGAAAAGTGTTTCCTACTATTTTAACGATGCTACAGTTGCTGCAGTCTATGGGATATATGCTAATTTTAGCAGGTGAGGGGGAGTTATGCATGTATATACCCACACATCAAGCCAAAAATATCCTCCTTTATAGCTCACTATCTCATTCATTGCTAAGCACTATTCAGAAGGATATGGGGGGGACGGGGGTTTGTGGATAGAAGACTGAACCTCAGCATGGTGAGTATAAGTAGCACAAACAGATTATAATCAAAATTCTCAGTTGTATAAAAAAAGATATTGAACATAATTCAGAAGCAAACTGTGGATGAAGGGAAAGCAGTGGATGTATTGTTTCTTGACTTTAGCAAAGCTTTTGACACGGTCTCCCACAGTATTCTTGTCAGCAAGTTAAAGAAATGTGGGCTGAATGAAGGCACTATAAGGTGGGTAGAAAGTTGGCTAGATTGTCCAGCTCAACGGGTAGTGATCAATGGCTCCATGTCTAGTTGGCAGCCGGTGTCAAGTGGAGTGCCCCAGGGGTCGGTCCTGGGGCCGGTTTTGTTCAATATCTTCATAAATGATCTGGAGGATGGTGTGGATTGCACTCTCAGCAAATTTGCGGATGATACTAAACTGGGAGGAGTGGTAGATACGCTGGAGGGCAGGGATAGGATACAGAGGGACCTAGACAAATTGGAGGATTGGGCCAAAAGAAATCTGATGAGGTTCAATAAGGATAAGTGCAGGGTCCTGCACTTAGGACGGAAGAACCCAATGCACAGCTACAGACTAGGGACCGAATGGCTAGGCAGCAGCTCTGTGGAAAAGGACCTAGGGGTGACAGTGGACGAGAAGCTGGATATGAGTCAGCAGTGTGCCCTTGTTGCCAAGAAGGCCAATGGCATTTTGGGATGTATAAGTAGGGGCATAGAGAGCAGATCGAGGGACGTGATCGTCCCCCTCTATTCGACATTGGTGAGGCCTCATCTGGAGTACTGTGTCCAGTTTTGGGCCCCACACTACAAGAAGGATGTGGATAAATTGGAAAGAGTCCAGCGAAGGGCAACAAAAATGATTAGGGGTCTGGAACACATGACTTATGAGGAGAGGCTGAGGGAACTGGGATTGTTTAGTCTGCAGAAGAGAAGAATGAGGGGGGATTTGATAGCTGCTTTCAATTACCTGCGAGGTGGTTCCAGAGAGGATGGTTCTAGACTATTCTCAGTGGTAGAAGAGGACAGGACAAGGAGTAATGGTCTCAAGTTGCAGTGGGGGAGGTTTAGGTTGGATATTAGGAAAAACTTTTTCACTAGGAGGGTGGTGAAACACTGGAATGCGTTGCCTAAGGAGGTGGTGGAATCTCCTTCCTTAGAAGTTTTTAAGGTCAGGCTTGACAAAGCCCTGGCTGGGATGATTTAATTGGGGATTGGTCCTGCTTTTGAGCAGGGGGTAGGACTAGATGACCTCCTGAGGTCCCTTCCAACCCTGATATTCTATGATTCTATGATTCTATGTAAGCCTATATACAGGACCAAAATGACTATTTTAAAATATTGTGCTCATTTACTGCAAAAAGATTAAATAAATGGAAGAGGTGTACAGCAAATGGGAATCATATTGTTTTGGGGAATGTAGTTACCAGGAAGACCTAACAGCTCTAGCCTAGTTGTCTGGTGAAGGAGATATAATAAAAGGTATTGTGGGATACCACTGCAGAGTCAAAAAAGAGTAGAATCCCCCAAGATGGGCTGACTAGATTTGTTTTGTCTCTCTCTCTTTTTTTTTTTCTTCATTTTTATAATTTTTTTTGGTCTCAATAACAGACTCTTCCTATAATCAATCCTTCCCCAAACCTGGAGTCCCTGTAAGTTTGATGGAGATCTCTAGTGCATTTCCATGCTATTTAGTACTGACTGGAGTGAAAGAACAGACTGTTCTAATTGCTATTTCTTTTCTAGCATTTATTTCTACTCAGAACTGAATTCCAGAAGACATTCTATTCTGAAAGTGCGCTTCCTCATCCAGTTAACTGAGTTGGGTCTATACTGACTTAAAAAGACAGGATCAAGTGGGAGTTGCCTTGTTGACAAGGAGAAGCTGCACTGCAAAATGCTGGAAAAAGGACACAGAAGGGAACAGAGGCATTAATTGTTTTAACTCCTTGCAGAGGATAACAACGAGATTCAGAGAGTATCTCAACTATAAAAAGATCTGGGATTCCATATCTGGAAATGAATGTAAACTCTGACTAAGCACTGAGAAGTCTGTCAAATTAGGTGTGCTTGGTACCAAATGCAGAACCTTAGTAAACCAGGCCATCAAACACACAGAGAACACTTTTAGAGATAACAAAGAGCTAATTGTGCATTGTGTATATGTTTTCAGAGGAAAACAAATTTATGAATCTGCAAAGGATCAAGAGACAGAGAGTGTATAGATTTATAGCTGTTTTAGTGACTCCAGAAGAGCAGCCCAGTGCACTGTTAGCTGGAAAGTGGATACACTGGAGAAACTGCACTGAATTCTCAGTATTAGCTCTGAACAGTTAACTTGGGAGGAAAGGAGGAAATGTCCCTTGACAGCAGTGAAACTGTAACCAGGGTGATCTCAGCTAACATCTCAGTTTCAGAAAGCAGTAATAATAAATTCTACAAAGGAAGAGAGAAACTGTGATATATAGGGAAAAGGATAAAATAAGCACAGCTCTTTTCCTTTCCCTGCCCCCCAGTCTCTCTTGCTCCCATTGAAGTGAATGGAAGTTTTTCAATAGACTAACTTTTAGCTTGATGTACACAGGATTATCAATGTTTTTTCCAGTATTGTGTAGCCATGTTGGTCCCAGGATGTGACAGAGTCAAGATATTATCTCAAAACACCCTGTCTCTAAGGTTAAAACAAAAGCAAATCTAACTATTAAACAATGCACTGGGAGTGAAAAGGGCTAAATATTAAAAAACTTGTACTTTGGGGGAACATTACACTAATAAATAGTGTAATTAAACAATATTTTGAACAAATGTCACCTTCACTACTGTTGCTATCAGAAGAGTAAAATTACAGAGAAGTTTTACTATGGAGATAAAGTTATTGGCTATAGTAAAGTCTTGGGTTTAATAACAAAAAGACAGATATCACTTTAGGATGAAAAAGCTCAGAGAACAAAGGACTTTGGTACTTACAGTAAATTCACAAATCCTCTTGAATTTGCAAAGATATATGACTCCACAAGGAAGACAGGAATATGCTAAAGTGTACACACAGGGTCAGTGTCAGGTAATGGTTTCAAATTAGAATGTTAATCTGTCACTGTTCAAACTAGCTCTAATACGGTGTTCCCTGGGTTTAGTATTTTCAACAACATTTACTGGTGGAATTAGAAAGGTCTAGTGTAAATATCTAAGCAAAGAACTGGTGTAATAGTAATACTTTATATAGTTGTGTCATAGAATTGGTCCAAGAGAAGCTGTCTGCACAAGCCCTTTCATTTATAATCACTCCATTTCAACCTAAAAATCAATACATAGCTCAATCCACTGAGTTCCTACCGAACAGCCTTTCCCAGCTATTTATAGGTATTTTCAAAGCAGACAGTTCACACACACACACCCCATTAAGGTTATCTGCTGGCATACGTTATCCATAATAGCCAATTGCTAAGGCACAAAGATTATGTACACAGTACCTTCTACTTTAAATTTCAGTTCTGAAGTATTCCCGATTCTAGACTTTAAAAAAAAAAAGTTTGTACGTCCACAGTTAAAATGTACCTATCGTTCTACCTACTTCTGCAGGGTCAGCACCTACTTCACAGACCTTTCAGCATATTGTGTTGTAGTCTGAATTAGTACAAATTATTCAAAGTTCTATACAGTAAAAAAAAATTGAAAGGAGGAATATTTTCCCTTTATTGCATAATTTTTTTTTTCCAAATAGGGTTTTTCCTATTATCAGCAGGGGGCATTTTCAGTTGATGCCCTGTTGAAGGCCTTTCCAGGTCTGTCTTGGGTTCTCCCATTATAATAACCACATGCCTCATCTCCAGTAAACACAAGAAAGGAAGGTACCTGTGTCAAGGATTACTGTTTTCTAGAAGACCAACCACACCAGAGAAATGTTTTAAAGACAGTGGATGGGCATAATTTGTAACTGAAATGCCTTCATGCAGTTCCATATGTTCCAGTAGACTATCCAGTTGTTCGATTATATACAGGTGATACAAAACTAATACAAAATTAACCTCAGTTTATTTCATTTTCATTAACTGTAGTTCCCATGTCAGGTTCTGGTAGGTCTGTAGACAGATTTTTGCAATGTTGTATACCTTATCTTTGGGCAATCAAAGGTTTTCATGGTTTCCTCCCATCCCTCACAGCCCTAAGACAGGAGGTCAAGGCAAGAGCATCTCTTGGTTTCCATATAGAAATCTTCTTTTAGAAAGAACTAACCCTTGTAGCACAGAGTTCATACATTTTATACACACTAACAGCACATTACACATTCAAAGTAAATTGGATAAAAAGGACTTGTGCCTGAAACCTCCAAACAAGTCCCCAAAAGTTACCTTTAAAGAAAAAGTGATTTGGCTGAAGATGGAAAAGGAAGGGCCTTCATTACTTGTGCCTTTACAATACAATGCTCTAGCAAGGCCTCTTAATTTAGCATTGCCAGTTTGTGGTGAAGGAGCAACTGAGACACACAAAAACTTGCTGTGAAGAAAGGCCTCCTCCAGGCTTTCTAAAGGAGCTCCAGTCTCCCTGCTCCTCCGACCTCCCTCTGTGTCTCTCTCTAGTCCTTGGAGCCAGGGTACTTCCCACCCCGAATGCCAATGCATCGCCTTCCTTTCACCAGCCAGGCCCTTAGGTGCAACTTAGGTGAAACGCTCCTTGTTATCCCTGGACCGCAGGTTTCTCCCCGCCTCGCCCCCCCCCGTACAGAGTCCCTCAAGGGCAGGTTTCCAGAGCCAAGTTCTCACTTGCCCCCACACATACTGTCACTGGAGCCCAGGGCTTCTCCTCGCCCCCCCCCCCGCCCAGCCAGTAAGTGAGGCTGGAGTCACCCCAGCCCACCCCACTGCTCGCCCCTGCGGCGCAGCTCCCCACCTCCTGCCGTAGGCGAGTGCCCCTGCGGCCGGCTCTTCCCCTAGCCCCGATCACCTAGCGGCCGGGTCCTCCGCCCCCCGGTCCCTCACCTCCAGCTTGTCGGTGAGCTCCTGGTGCATCCGCTCGTACTGCCGGCTGATGTCCTGGTTCCTCGCCAGCAGCGCCTTCCCCAGCCGGGCGGCCAGCACCAAGTCCTTCTCCTTCTGCCTGATCAGCGAGAGCAGCTCGGGCTGCTGCCCGGCCGGGGCAGGCCCCGCGTCCTGCTCCCCGGCTTGCTGCTGCCGTTGCTCCCCGGCGGCGGCCAGGAGAGCCAGCTCCTCCTCCAGCGCCAGCTCCAGCTCCCCCGGGCCGCCCTGGAGCGGGGCTAAGGCGGCCGCGGCGGCCGCGGGGCTCCGGGCGGCTGCTGCTCCCGCGGCCCCCGGCAGCTCCATGCAGCAGGCGCTGTCCAGCTCCGCTGGTGCTGAAGCGGCGCCCGCCAAGCCCAGGCAGTAAGCGGCCATGGCCCGCCCCTCGTGCGCTCCCGGCTGCGGGGGCAGGCGAGCCCGGCCCCCGCCGCTGGGGCTGCCGCTGCCCCTTCTCCTCCCTCACGCTGGGCTGCGCCGGGAGCCTGCGCCCCGCTCCGTGCCCGCGCCGAGCCGCCGCCGCGCGCCGCCGCCGCCGCCCGGGAGCTGGCGGGGAGCCGCCTTAGCCGCCCTGCTGCCGGGCCCGGGCTGTCTCAGCGCGCGCGGGGCGCCCCGCTGCTGCTGCCGCCGCCGCCGCCGGCCGCGCCCCGCCGCGCCGCTGCCCGCGCCCCATCTCCGCCGCGGCGCCTGCAAAACATCGCGCTGCAGCGGCGGCTGCGGGAGCCTCGGCGGCGGCCGCCCCCCTCCCAGCCCCGAGCCCTGACGACACCGAACACCTGTTTTCCGAGGGGCTCTGATTCGCCGAGCCGGGTAGCTCCACAGGCCGGCACCCAGGTGCTGCCCTGATTAACCCCTCCGTGCCCAGAACAACATCCCCGCCCCCAGACACACGCAGGCGCCGGGGCCCCTTCCAGACAACCCGCCTTGTACTAACACCCAGGCACAGGCTGCTCTCGGGGTGGGGCCGGAGTACGCGGCCCTGACTGGGCCCTCGCCCTGCATATAGTGCGTTAGGTCTTCTCCAGACAGCCCCTAAGGCACAGCACAGCCCGCTGATGGAGTCCCCTGGCGCCCCTCGCAGTGCCCGGGGCTGCTCTGGAGGGCTGGCTGCAGCGTTGGCCCAGTGCAGGGCCTTCAGCGAGGGAAAGCCTAGGAGAAGAGATGAGGCTGAGCCTAAACCTGCCCATTCATACTAAACAGGAAACTATTAGCGAGCAAAACCAGACAAAGGCAAAGAGTTCAAGCCAGCCCAAGGCAAAGCTTACTGGCAGGATTTGCCATCTAAGATGCCATGATGACGGTTGCCCTCGAAATTACCTCAGATTAGTCTTGAAAATGCCCATCAGATATTTCTTTATAATAATGCTACTCACTTTAACAGGAGTAACATCTTCAAAGCACTTTATCAATGTAACCGAATACTAATACTCTGCACTTACATAGCAGCTTCCATCTGAGGACTAAAAGCACTTTATTACCATTAGTAAATTAAACCTCACAGGCTCCCTGTCATAAATGTTATCACCATTTTACCAGACAATGAAACAGGCAGAAAAAAATTAATTCACTTGCCCAATACTACACAGCAAGTCTAAAGCAGAGTCAAAATTCCCTCTCAGGAGTTCTTCACTCCCAAGCTTGCTCAGTCCACTAAACACTACTACTTCTATTGTTATAAACCATGATCCTCTTAAAACCTGCCAGATTCCAAAAACAGCCCTAATGTTGAATTTCATCCTGCCTAAGACTGGTTCCTGAAAATCAGGCTCTTTATGGTTCTCAGATCATTCAGAACTCATATTTGGATGAATCAGAATCTAGAGTATTTTTCATAGACATGGTTCTCAACGCACAGTCAGTATGGTTCACTGGTCAAAGCAGGGGACTGGGATTCAGCCGGACTCCTGGGTTCTATTTCCAATTTACCAGGGACTTGCTTGTTATGCTGAAGCAAATGACAGAGGGCCTCATTTTCAAAAGTGGCCTCTAGCTTTGGATTCCCAACTTTGGACAGATAGGGCTCAACTGGGATTGTACCCACTCAGCCTTCTGAAAAAAAAAAACCCACACAATTTATGTGTCTAAAGTTGAGCAACAAAAAGTGAGGCACTTAAAACTAGAGTCTACTTTTGAAAATGTGGGCCTTATTCTCTCATTTATCAATGAATGACATAACAATGTCTACTTTGTAGGCATGTTGTGAGAATTACTGTAAGAGTGTCTCTGATTTAGGATACTAATGACATGATCAAAACACTAACCTGTTAATAGAGTTGCTGTGATGGGGCATCTGCCCCACACTGGCATGGAAGGGGTTAATAGACCCCTAAGGAGGCTGGGCAGGAACCAGCCAATAGGCAAGAGGCTGTGAGGAGCAGCCAATTAGGGCCCATCAGGCCCATATAAACATAGGGCGGGGCAGAGTAGAGTTAGTTAGCCCCTAGAGCTCAAGGAGGGAGGACTGGGGGGGCCTTAGTGCATGCATGATAGAGCAGTGCTAGGTAGGAACAGGGGAGTGAGAGGGAGCGCCTGCCTGCCTGGAGTGGTATGCTGTGCCCCTGGAGTAAGGGTGAAGAAGATGCTGGGGCTGTGGGGAAGTGACCCAGGGAAATGTACTGAAGAGTTGGAGGGGATGCAGCATATGGCTGCTATCTACAGGGTCTCTAGGTAGACCTGGGACCTGCCACTCACTGCTGGGGAAATGGCAGGACAGTTGCCACTGGGGAAGTGGCTGGACAGTTGTCTGTAGGGCCCCTGGAAGGGGGGGAAGCACAGATTGTGATGTGGCTGGAGGGCTGTGTCATAAAGATGATACTGCAGTCCTAGGAGTGACATGGGTCAAAGAGCAGATTTGATGGTGGGTGAGGCACCACTGGGTGAGTGTGTACTGATCGGCAGACCTAATCCCCAACATGGCCAGCAGGAGGCACCAGCATAGTGAGTAAAGCCCTGCCACAATTGCTTTTAATGAATTTGGGGGGAAGGCATTTCAAAAAAGCTTATTGTAAAATATAACAGTTCATTAAAGAAATTCTAGTTTTCAGTTAAATATTTTTTGTTTTGAAAAGTTTGGAGAATCCCATTTCATCCTCTTAATAAGAATGTGTGAAAAATTAACACTATTGGCTAAACCTGTGGGATGCACACATGTACAAATTCACTAAAAATGTGGTTGAGACTTTTTTTAAAATGCTGAAAGGAAGCGTTCACAAGTAGAAACAGGTTTTTTTGTTTTTAATATACACACACTCACAAATCCTCTTCCATATCCGGCATAAAATGATGAGATCTGATCCTTGCAGGCCCCCAAGCCAAAGAAAATACCATCCTACCCAAATATCTCTAAGGAGAGAGCCTTGTACCCCTTAGAGTGCCAATATGTTATCCTAAGCCCTACTTGCCCTTTTGGAGGCCTTGGTTAGGCTTGCTAGACTAACGAGGTGAAGTAAGCTGTAGCTCACGAAAACTTATGCTCAAATAAATTGGTTAGTCTCTAAGGTGCCACAAGTACTCCTTTTCTTTTTGAGGTGCCTTATAGCATCTTTATGGCCAGCAGGTTAGTTTGGATAGCTGACTACAACTCCCAACAGCCACGGGGGTTGCCATCAACTGAAGATGATTACTTTTGTACTTGGATAAAGTTCATTTTAAAGGCAGCCTCAGTGACTGTTGGGAGTTGTAGTCAACTCTAGGATTAAGTTCCCTCTCTGGAAAGGGACATCACGGAGGAGTGGGGAACCACCAAATAGCCAGGCTTCCTTGAGATCTTTATTAGGGTATTTTGCTAAGGGCCCCTTTTTGGGGGGGGAGGGGGCAGGAGAAGGAAAGTGGTGCTGAGATTTCAAATTATCACCATTTAAAAATAAAAATGATGTCATTTTAGCTGTGGTTGAATTGAGACCCCTTTAAGGAAGACTACACTTTTGTAGAAAGAACAGGAATTTTACACAGCTTTATCCTGTTAAAGGTTGCCTCTAAATTCCTATGCCCTTTAGGGGACTCACTTGAATTCAGTCTATATATCAATAGCTAGGACATATAATTAGTTGGAGGGTGGGGTGAATTCTGTCTCACAACTGAGCTGTATCCCTTCCTAGTGCTCATGAAGTTGTCAGACTGGGAGCCCTAAAAATCTTCTGTTTATCCAGATACGTTATAGCATGAGTTGTGGAAATGCAAACTTCCCTCTAGCTTTCTACCAGTGGACCTTAACCCTGCATTAGGAGAATAACTTACTTACCCAGCATGCCTACTCAGTCCTTGAGCTTTTTCTTAACAATGTCAGTTAATGCAAACTGTGGTGGAGTTTTTGTGATATGAATACCTGTTCACTAAGAACTAGACTGAGATGCTTTAATTCATTTCATATGGGCCACCAAGAGCCATCAAATGGTATTAAATGTTAAATTAAATTAAACTAACTCATTATTACCCAGAACTATATTCAAACCAGTAACTTAGAGGTGGAAGGCTCTGTATTCCATTATCAATTCTTTCAGTCATCCAGCTCTTAAGGCCTGCCTTTTAATCAACAGAAGTTTACACAGATGGAAAGCAGGACTCACTTTACTGCAAAATGATCCTGTACAATATTTTATTCCTTAAAAGAACCTCTCTCCAGAACAGAAACTATACCATTACTAGGTATGCTAGCTGGTTTCTTCTTCTTAACTAGGGGAGGTAGTTTAAAATCCAAACTGAGTATATGCGCCTTCTGCTGGAATAGCCTATTATAACAAAGCAAGCCTTCTGGTGTGGTTAAGGAAATCCATTGTGGCATTCATTTTCATCTCTAATGCCTCCTTCAGTTATAAAATAAAGAGCTTATACTGAGAAGATTTTAATCCCCCCCAAAAGTCTCAAACAAAACTCTTAGCTCTAGCTGTTGGATGTGTGGGAGAGGTGTCTGGCTGGGAGGAGAAATAGACACACCTAAACAAACATTTATTACAGATCTCTTAACTCCATACTCATACATTCTAGTTCAACATGCTCCGCTTTCATTTGTGCCCAGCTGACTGCACAATGTTCTATGTAATACATTTGACTCGGTTTCTATTAATGATTTGTTAATAGGCCATCTATTAATCTCCACATCAGAAAATCCATCACTGTCCTCGGAATTTAACTATTGATTGCCATTATTAGAAGTAGATTACTGGATTGCTTTTAACTCCTTTATTGTATTGTGTACATTGTTTTAATGGATTAAAAATAATATGTACATAAAAGCAGTTAAAGATCAATTATTATCTTATATTGTTATAGTAGCTTTCATCCAGAAGTATACAAACGTGCTTAACAATCTAGAGCTGGGATTTTCAATAGTCTATGGGAGTTAGGGACCAACTTCCTTTGAAAGTCAATGGGAGTTGAGTGCCTAACATTCTTTGTTCCTCTGAAAAATCCTAGCCTA